ACAAGATTTCATTCCCTTAGATCGCTGAGTAATATATAAATATTTTATATATATCACTCTTCTTTATCCATTCATCAGTTGATGGACATTTGGGCTCTTTCCATAGTTCGGCTATTGTTGATAATGCTACTATAAACATTGGGGTACCTGTATCCCTTTGAATCTGTATTTTTTATCTTTTGAGTAAATACCTAGTAGTGCAAATGCTGGATAGTAGGGTAGCTGTATTTTAACTTTTTGAAGAAACTCCATACTGTTTTCTAGAGTGGCTGCACAAGTTTGCATTCTCACCAACAGTGCAAGAGGATTCCCCTTTCTCTGCATCCTAGCCAACACTTGTTTCTTGTGTTGTTAATTTTAGCCATTTTTCTCTGTTAGTTACTGTGGGAATCTGGCCATGTTGCTGGAGGTGAATCTCATAATATTGTGGGAGTCTTCCATGACTGCTTCCCCCTGGAGTTTTCAACTCTCAGACTTCTCCACACTGAGCCCCCAGTGTCTCATCAATTAAACTTCAGATTTTTCTACCCAAGCACTGATTACCAGTGGTTTCTGCTCTTGAGTCTCTGTACCAGTTAGCTGTGACTCCTTGTATCTCCCTGTGATTCTCTAATCTTGGGGTCATTGGCTTGCCTTGTGTCCTCTCATCCTCCCATCTTTTACACATCCCAAAGAATTCTTGGTTTTCCAGTATGTTCAGCTTTTTACTTGTTAAGATGGAGTGGTAATTTCTAACCTCCTTACATTCAGAACTAGAAACTGGAAGTCCTTATAGTATCTTTTAATGGAAAATATTTTCAATTTTTATAAAGTCTAATTTGTCTATCTTTTCTTTTGTTGTTTATGCCTTTGGTATCATATCCAAGAAATCACTCCCAAACCCATTGTCATGAAGTTTTTTCCCTATGTTTTCTTCTAAGAATTTTATAATTTTAGGTCTTATATTTACATCATGGATCCATTTTGAGTTCGTTTTTGTATGTGGTGTTAGGTAAGGATATAACTGCATTCTTTTTTTTTTTTTAAAGATTTTATTTATTTATTTGACAGAGAGAGACACAATGAGAAAGGGAACACAAGCAGGGGGAGTGGAAGAAGGAGAAGCAGGCTTCCCGCTGAGCAGGGAGCCCGATGTGGGGCTCGATCCCAGGACCCTGGGATCATGACCTGAGCCGAAGGCAGATGCTTAATGACTGAGCCACCCAGGCACCCCTTGCATCCTGTTTTCCCAGCACCATTTGTTGAAAGACTCTTTTCTCCCATTGAATGGTCTTGGCACCCTTGTTGAACATCATTTGACTTTATATGTGAAGTTTTATTTCTGGAATCTCTATTCTATTCCATTGGTCTATATGTTTGTCTTCATGCCAGTACCACACTGTTTTGATTACTGTAGCTTTGTAATAAGTTTTGAAATTGGGATGTGTGAATCCTCCAGCTTTGTTCTTCTTGCTCAGGATTGTTTTGTCTATTTGAAGTCCCTTGAGATTCCATATTAAGTTTAGAATGAGATTTTTCTTTTTTTTTAAAGATTTTATTTATTTATTTGAGACAGAGAGAATGAGAGAGAGAGAGAGCACATGAGAGGGGGGAGGGTCAGAGGCAGAAGCAGGCTCCCTGCCGAGCAGGGAGCCCGATGCGGGACTCAATCCAGGGACTCCAGGATCATGACCTGAGCCGAAGGCAGTCGCTTAACCAACTGAGCCACCCAGGTGCCCTAGAATGAGATTTTTCTATTTCAGCAGAAAGCATCATTAGGATTTTGGTAGGGATTACATTAAACCTGTAGATCACTTTCGGTTGTACTGACATCTTAGCAATAAGTCTTTCTTTTTTTTTTTTTTAAAGATTTTATTTATTTATATGACAGAGAGACACAGCGAGAGAGGGAACACAAGCAGGGGGAGCGGGAGAGGAAGAAGCAGGCTTCCCGCGGAGCAGGGAGCCCGATGCAGGGCTCAATCCCAGGACCCTGGGACCATGACCTGAGCCGAAGGCAGATGCGTAACGACTGAGCCACCCAGGAGCCCCAAGTCTTTCTTTTTTTCGAGAGAGAGATGTGAGGGGGAGGGAGAAAGAGAATTTTTTTTTTAAAGTGGAGCTTATTTTATTTTTATTATTTTTATTTTTTTATAGTACATCATTAGTTTTTTATGTAGTGTTCAACTATTCATTAGTTGTGTGTAACACCCAGTGCTCATCACAACCCATGCCCTCCTTAATACCCATCACCTGGTTATTTTTTTTTTAAAGATTTTATTTATTTATTAGAGAGAGAGGGAGAGAGCACACATGATCAGGGAGAGGCACAGAGGGAGAAGCAGGCTCCCCGCTGAGCAGGGAGCCTGGTACAGGGCTCAATCCCAGGACTCTGGGATCATGACCTGAGCCCAAGGCAGACACTTAACCAACTGAGCCACCCACGTGCCCCTTAGCAGTAATATGTCTTTCAATCCATGAACATGAGATCTTTTTCCATTTATGTATTCTTTAATTTATTTCAGAAATGTTTCTGTTGTTTTCATCACACAAGTCTTTCATCTTGGTTAAGTTAATTCGTATTTTCTTGGTATTGTAAGTGAAGCTGTTTTCTTAATTTTCTGTTCAGATTTTTCACTTTTAGTATATAGTAATGCAACTGATTTTTGTGTGTTGGCTTTGTATCCTGCTACTTTGTTGAATTCATTTAATAATTTTAAGCTTTCTATGTAATCTTTAGCATTTTCTACATATGAGATCATATCCTCTGTGAACAGAGATAATTTTACTTCTTCCTTTCCATTTTGGATGCCTTTTTTTTTTTTTGCCTAATTGCTCTGGCTAGAATTTCTTTTTTTTTTTTTAAAGATTTTATTTATTTACTTGACAGAGAAAGACACAGTGAGAGAGGGAACACAAACAGGGGGAGTGGGAGAGGGATAAGCAGTCTTCCTGCTAAGCAGGGAGCCCGATGCAAGGCTTGATCCCAGGACCCTGGAATCATGACCTGAGCCGAAGTCAGACGCGCTTAACAACTGAGCCACCCAGGCGCCTCTGGCTAGAATTTCTAATACTATGTTGAATAGAAAAGGTGAAAACAGGCCTCCTTGCCTTGTCCTAATCTTAGAGGAACAACTTTCAGTCTTTCACCACTGAGTATGTTGTTTGCTGTGGGTTTTTCAGAAATGGCATTTTATTATACTGAGGTAGTTTCCTTCTATTCCTAGGATTTTGATTGTTTTTTATCATGAAAGAGTGCTGAATTTTGTCAAATGCCTTTTCTGCACCTATTGAGATGATCATGTGTTTTTTTCCCTTCATTCTGTTAGTGTGGTGTATTACATTGGTTGATTCGTGTAGATTGAGGTATCCTTACATTCCAGGAATAAATCCCACTTGCTCATGGTGTATAATCCTTTTAACATGTGGCTGAACTCACTTTTCTAATATTTTTTTTGAGGATCTTAGCGTCACTGTTCATAAGGGATATTGATCTGTAGTATTCTTTTCTTATAGTGTCTTTCTCTGCCTTTGGTATCAGGGTAATGCTGGCCTTATAGAATGAGAGTGTTCCTTCCTCTTCGTTTATGTGGAATAGTTTGAGAAGGATCAGTATTATTTCTTCTTTAAATGTTTGGTCAATTTCACCAGTGAAGCCACTGGGCCAAGGACTTCTCTTTGTCAGGAGATTTTTAAAAATTACTGATTCATTCTCCTTACTAGTTATAGGTCTATTAAGATTTTTAAAAAAGATTTACTTATTTATTTTAGAGAAAGTGTGTGTGCATAAGTGGGAGGAAGGGCAGAGGGAGAGAACCTTCAAGCTGACTCCCCGCTGAGTGCAGAGCTTGTTGCAGGCTCCATTCATATCCATGAAATCATGGTCTGAGCTTAACTGACTGGGCCACCCAAGCACCCCAGATCTATTCAGATTCTATAGCTATTTGCTCTGTGGTTACCATGGACATTGCATTTAATATCTTAAAGATATCACACTCTAATTTGAGTTTATACCAGCTTAACTTTAACTCTGCTATTTTAACAGCTCTGATAACAAATTTTCCAGGCATTATACTCCCGCTTATTTTTCCCTTGAAGATAGTATTGTGTAGTCTTTTATTTTCATAATCACAACCATGATAATGTAGTCCATAATTAACTACTGTTTTAAGTTTCAATTAAGTGTCATCTGATCATTGTAAATGACATTTTTCTATATTGAGAATATATTCAAATTGAACAATTTTCATAAAAATAAAGAGGATGAAACATTACAATATGGCTGAAATTATAAAGATTGTAGTTTTCAAAATTAAAGCTTGATAATTATATAGTTTTCAGTTAAATGTAGATACGTTATAAAAGGTAAAATAAGTTTTGTTTTTTTTTTAAAGATTTTATTTATTTTTTAGAGAGTGAGCGAGAGAGAAACAGCATGAGAGGGGAGAGGGTCAGAGGGAGAAGCAGGCTCCCCGCTGAGCGGGGAGCCTGATGTGGGACTCGATCCCAGCACCCTGGGATCATGACCTGAGCCGAAGGCAGATGCTTAACCATCTGAGCCACCCAGGCGCCCAAAGGTAAAATAAGTTTTTAACTGTAGAAAACAAAGTATATTTAACTCAATAGTTTTATATTTGAAATATTTGAATGCCAGTAAATTGTGGTTAGAATTCATTCTATGTATTCTTCATAGTAATAAAATGCATAAAAGGAAATTTATACCACATTAAAGTACCTTGCACATTAAAATATTAACAGTATTGCCTAAATCTACTGGTATTTTTAAAAGTTCCAAATTCTGAATTTGCTTCATTTTAAGAATAAGTGAGATTTGAAGTGTACCAGTCTTTAAAAGACATAATTGAAAATGATTGCATTAAATAAATTGCAAATGAATATATAGACTTTTGGAAATCCGTGAATGAATCTCAAATCTACACCATTAGCCACATGATGTCGCTGTATACCACAAAGTCTTGTCACCAAAAACTAAAGGAGGAAGCTCCATTTTGTCACAGCCTGAGAGAAGACAAAAACGGCCGGGAGATATATTATTCAAGATATAAAGTAAAGAGAGTATGACTTTGAAGTGAGAGAGTGGTACCAATTTTTAGTGGTTTTGCGATGCTGTTGCCTAGGCAAGGAGGCAAGGGAGCCTTGCGTTTGTTGCTCTCCGTTCTGCTCCTCGCAGCCTGGAAGACTGGGAGTGGTCAGGTCCACTACTCGGTCGCCGAGGAGGCCAAACACGGCACCTTCGTGGGCCGTATCGCCCAGGACTTGGGGCTGGAACTGGCGGAGCTGGTGCCGCGCCTTTTCCGGGTGGCGTCCAAAGGCCACGGGGACCTTCTGGAGGTAAATCTGCAGAATGGCATTTTATTTGTGAATTCTCGGATCGACCGGGAGGAGCTGTGCGGGCGGAGCGCGGAGTGCAGCATCCACCTGGAGGTGATCGTGGACAGGCCGCTGCAGGTTTTCCATGTGGTGGTGGAGGTGAAGGACATTAATGATAACCCACCGGTTTTCAGAGCAAGAGAACAAAGGTTATTTATTCCTGAATCTAGACTGGTGGATTCACTTTTCCCGATAGAGGGAGCTGCTGATGAGGACATTGGTACCAACGCTCTTCTAACTTACACCCTCAGCCCCAGCGATTATTTCTCTTTGGATGTACAGGCAAGTGATGAACTCAGTAAGTCACTTTCACTTGAATTGAGGAAATCTTTAGATAGAGAAGAAACACCAGAACTTCATTTATTATTGACAGCCACTGATGGGGGCAAACCAGAGCTGGAAGGTACAGTTCAGCTGCTGATCACAGTGCTCGACGTTAATGATAATACCCCATTGTTCGCCCAGGCTGTGTACAGAGTCCATTTATTAGAAAGTACAGCAAATGGAACATTAGTGACTACATTAAACGCCTCTGATGCCGATGAAGGTGTAAATGGAGAAATTGTTTTTTCCTTTGGCAGTGATGTTCCTCTAAACATTCAAAAAAACTTCAAAATTGATTCCAACTCAGGAGAAATTAGGCTAATTGGTAGACTGGATTATGAGGAAACAAAATCCTATGAAATTCAGGTAAAAGCAGTTGATAAAGGAAATCCTCCAATGTCGAATCACTGCAAGGTTTTAGTGAAAGTGCTGGATGTAAATGACAATGCTCCACAACTGGCAATCACACCTCTGTCTTTGCCGGTCAGAGAGGACACTCCACTCGGCACCGTCATCGCCTTTGTCTCCGTGTCCGACCGTGACTCCGGCGTCTCTGGGCAGGTGACCTGCTCTCTGATGCCTCATATCCCATTCAAGCTGGTGTCCACCTTCAAGAACTACTATTCGCTGGTGCTGGACAGCGCCCTGGACCGAGAGAGCGTGGCGGACTATGCTCTAGTAGTGACCGCACGCGACGCAGGCTCGCCTTCGCTCTCCGCCACGGCCAGCGTGTCCGTGGAAGTGGCGGACGTGAACGACAACGCGCCGGCATTCGCGCAGCCCGAGTACACGGTGTTCGT